CTGGCTGTCAGCGGGGGGCACCTGGGGACACACAGGGACAGCAGGGTGACCACGGGATGCCAACAACGCCTGAGGGGGTGATGGCATTGTGTGGGGGGCTGTGTGCGCCGGGGCCCCCCGGCGCGGGGGGGGGGCTGGGGTGATGTCGATTTTGGGAAGCTGTGGGTGTGATATTGGGGGTGGTGCTTGGGGGTCCCGCTGTGGTTTGGGGCTGCCCATAGGGTCTGAGGGTGTTGAAAGCTTGGAGCATCCCAGGGGGGCTTCATTTTGGGGTGTGGGGGCATCTGCATGGAGGAGATCTGGGGGTCCCCATGGTCTGGATATGGGGGTGCACACAACGTTATGGGAAGCCATAAAAGGTAGGGGGTTCTTTGCAGTCCCCACAGGCAGGGTTTGGGGTTCCCAGGTAAGGTCTGGGTGAGGGGCAATGGGGCAGGTTGGGGTTAGGGGTCCCCTGACCCAGACACTGACCTGGAACTGCACGGCCTCGTAGCTTCTGGGGGTGGCACCTGAGTCGTAAAAGGGAGGAGAGAAATGTAGGGTTATTGAGGGCCTGAACAGCACCAGGGGAGATCCGTGGGGGATAATATTGGGGAATAAAGGCATTTAGCTTGTTCCCCACCACGGCTTTGAATCCGTCGTCTGCGGGCAGCGAGGAGAAAAGAGGCGACAAGGACGAGGATGAAGGCAAAGGCAGCAGCGCAGCTCCCAGCCACGGCGGCCACCAGGGTCCCATGGGGCCATCCGTTGTCACCTGTGGGATGTGGGTGTTTGGGTTTCCCATCCCCGGCCACCACCTGAGTGGAGTTTGGTGTCCTGTCAGCCGTGGGCACCGTAGGGAGCACAGAAGGGGAGGATCAGATTTACCTTGGGATCCAGTCGGGGGGGTCACCTCCAGTGTCACGTTTTTCCCAAGGGGTGAGGAAAGAAGGTACAAACCCCCAGGGTGGTAGGAGCACCTATAGGTACCCGAGTCAGCTGGGGTCACCCCAAAGAGGGTGAAGGTGGCCGTGCCCCCACCATCAGGTTTCTGGTGCTGGAGAGGGGCTGAGAGCCCGTCCTTGTGCAGGAAGGTGACCCCATTGTATTTGTTCCGGCACTGGATGGTGACATTGGTCCCTGTCCCCACGTTTCTCCCAGAGCTCATGGAAATGCCAGGCAGGGGATAAGTGTGATCTGTATGCAAAGAGCAGACAGCAATGGGACGTGGCCCTGTGGGGACAGCTCAGGGCCAACCATTGTCCCTGTGCCCTCACCTGTCAGCACCAGCTCCACGGGGTCACTCAGCTCCGATGTTCCACGTGGCTTTGACACCCGGTACTGGCACCAATATTTCACTGCATCTTCCTTCTTTACACCATCCAAGGTGAACTCAGCCACATCCTGTGCCATGTCCACGTCCTCCTGCTTTGCGAGTAACCAGCGTTCTTCCTTGTAGAGCTCAACTCGTGCAGCCGGCCGGGGCAGGTGGCACCTTAGGGTGACAGCATCCCCCAGGGACACCCCGTGGCTGGGGTGCAGCGACAGGGAGGGTCGGGGCACTGGGACAGGGGACAGCAGTCAGCCTTGTCCCTGCACGCCCTCCTGGGCCCCTCTGATGGCCCCCTCCCCACGCTGCCCTCCCTCTCTCCCCATTCTCCCCCTGCCCCCATACTCACCATGCTGTGCTCTGCTCGCTGCCGCCACCCACCAACCTGCAAGGGACACGGTCCTGGTGTCACACAGGGCCACCAACCCCTGTGGCACCACGTCCCCATCGTCACTCACCCAGGACGAGGGCCAGCGCCATGGGTGCCATGATTCAGGAGCAGCCTGGGGACGGCGAGACTTCAGTGGGGAACAGGAAGTGGCCGGAGTGCTGCTTTCAGTTTCCCCCTGGTCTCAGGACGCTGTGATGTCACCTCCTGATGTGGCAACAGGAGCCCATGGGGGAGGTGGCACTGTGGGGTCCCTCTGTGGTGGCACAAGTGGAGAGGTGCTCCCTGCACACTGGGCCTCTTGAGGCGCCCCACGCTCTGCCAACCCTGGGGTGTCACAGGAGGTCCCCAAAGGGCTGTGGCTGTGTGCCCTGGCACGCTGCCCCCCACAAGAACGCCAGGCTCTCTGCACAGTGCCCCCAAAGGACAGCCTGTGCTTCCCTGGGGTCTGCAGGGCAACAGAGTCAGGCAGTGACTCGGAGGAACAGCACAAGAGCGTTTATTGAGCTTTCCATCAGCAACCAATCCACGGCCCTGCAACAAAATTCGGGGACGTCCCAGGAAGAATCACGGAGCGAGGCGGATAAAGGATGCTTGGACACTGGTGCCACTGCCTGATCTGCTCCTCGCAGGGAAAGGTGGGTTGTGGCTGCTGCAGAAGAAGAGTAAAGTCCGTTTGGAAGGGCAATGAGGAAGAGAGAGGAAAGGAAAGAGAAAATGGAGAGAAGGAGGGCAGGGAGATGAGAGAGAGAGACGGAGGGAGAAAAGCAACCACAGTGCGTTGCGAGGAGCCGCAGGGCTGGAGCAGCAGGGGGATGAGAGCGCTGGTCCAACGGAGGAAGCGTGCAGCTGGCAAAAGGGAGGCAGCAGAAAACGCGGCTCCTGCAGGCATCCCTTCCTGCCTGCTGGTCGGCAGCCACAGCATCGCAAGGCTGTGAAGCAGCGAGTTCCCAGCGCCGCGTCGGTCAGCAACGCGTCTGTGCCAGAAGTGCTCGTGCGGTGCAGCAGCGCCACCGGTGGGCGCACCAAGGCTGCGCGGTGACCTCACGGCACCTGGGGCCCTGCAGCCTCTGCTGCCATGGCAGGAGCCTCGTCTTGCGCGTGTTGGAGAGGCAGCAAGCGCAGCAACCGGGTCAGAAAAGGAGTTTTGTTGGCCGGCTGTCGTTGCGTGGAGCAGAGAGCGGCCGTGTGAGGAGCTGCGGCGGTGAGGTGGCTGCGGTGGCAGCGATGGCCCTGCTGAGCACGAGGAGCACAGCGCATCTGTGGCCGCTGTCACATGAGTGCACGAAGCAGCCAGAACTCCGGGATGGGGGGTGGAAGATTGAAGGTCAGAACTCGCAGGTGGTGGTGATAAAATGTGTTTGCTGAGGCTGCAGAGAGCGATGGCAGTGAGTGCCGTCACGACATCCATGGCAGATATTTGCACAGCGACGCGCGGCACGGCGCCTCCAAAGCTGCTGATGCTGAGAGCAGGGCAGGAGGGCAGCAGGGAGACGCTGGGTGGGATCTGCAGGGGGTCGGAGTGGAGGTGGGGGGCAGCAGTGTGGGGTCGGTGGGCAGTCGGTGCGAGTGTGGGGTGGATGGGGAAGGATTTGGATTTGGGTGTCTTGTAGGAATGGAGTTGGGTTTTGGGGCGGGTGAAGGAGTGCTTGGGGTCTGAAGGGATGTGATGGGATTGGAGGGGGATCAGGAAGGATCTGGGGGTGAGAGCGGAGAATTCCGGTGGGTGTGGGAAGGAGGTGAGGATTTGGGGATGTCAGCTTTGTGGGGATTTGGGGGTGAAAGGGTGGATGGTGATGTGATGGAGCTCCAAGCAGGGAATTTGGGCTGCGTCCCTTTCAGAGCCCCTTCAAACTGAGGCACCGTTGGCGTGGGGGTATCAGTGGGGGTCCCCCAGTGCCCACGGGGGGAGACGATGGGGGGCTGAGGGGTGGCAGCTGGCCTGGGTGGCCGGAGACCAGGGCTCACAGCAGGAATCTCAGTGCAGGTCAGATGCTTGTTGTCACCGCGGGGGAACCTGGAGACACAGGGAAACAGCGGGGTGCCACCATGGGGGTCTGCAACAGGCTTTGGAGGGGGACTGATGGGGTTTGGGGGTGGTGTTCAAGAGGGCGGGCATGGAGTTGTGCTGTCCTTCTATCTGAGGGTCCCAAGGGGGGCGTTTGGGGGTCCTGCTGTGGTTTGGGTGTGGGACCGCAGTGTTCAGGGATGGTGGGACCACAGCGGATTGGATTTCTCATCCCTGAGGGTTAAAGACTGGGGTTCCATATGTGAAGCTTTTGGGGTTCCCTTCTCTGGCTTTGTGAGTGCTTTGTGTGGGGTGGGATGTGTTGAGAGCCTGCAGAGCTGCAGGAGTGTGAAGGCTGAGATCCAGAGTCTGGCTTCAGCAGGAGATGCAGAACTCGAGTCCCCTGTGAGCTGGGTTTGGGAGATTCCTCATAAAGTCAGGGTAAGCCATCGGGGGTTGGTGGTCCTTTGGGGTAACGATGAGCAGGGGTTGGTGAGGCCCCAAGGGGAATGCTGGGGTTTGGGTCCCCTGACCCAGACACTGACATGGAACTGCATTCGGGGGGGGTTTGGGGGGGTTGGGGGGGTTCTGTGTCAGCAACTGGAGGAGGTGGGAGTTGTGGGGGGTCGTGAATCAAGGAGCCCTGAAGGGAATCTGTAGGGGCTGAAAGGGCATCAAGGGGCACCTGGGAGGATGTGGATGGGACAGAAGTGCAGGCAGGGGACAGTGGGGGAATCAGCAGGGGGTGGCGGGCATGGAAATCCTTCCTCACCACAGCTCTGATCTGCCCGTATCCAGAGGCTGCGGGCATCGACGACGAAGAAAACGCCGAGGCCAAAGACGAGCACAGCCACAAAGCCCCTCACCAGTGCCAGCACCAGATTGGCACGGGACTGCTCCTCAGCACCCGTGGGCTCTGCAGGTTTGGGTGCCCCTATTGCCAGCCACAGCCCCCAGTCAGAGCGCATGGAGGGACGCAGCCAGCCATCCACGGCAGGGGGGTGCGCAAATGGGGAGCTCAGACCCACCTGGGGGTGCAGGTGTGGGTGCCACCTCCAGAGTCACGTTGTTCCCAATGGGTGAGGACAGGAAGCGCTGAGCCCAGGGGCGGTAGGAGCACCTATAGGTGCCGCTGTCAGCCGGGGTCACCTCAAGGATGGTGAAGGTGGCCTTGTCCTCCAAGAGGAGCTCCTGGCGCTGGATGGGGGCTGAGCACCCATCTTTGTGCAGGAGGAAGGAGCCCCCATAGCCCTGGTTCCAGCACTGGATGCTGACGTTGGTCCCTGTCCCCACAC